GACAGCCTGGATGGGTAGCTGCAGTCATACGTGAGCAGAGTGAATAGGAGAGGGCTCAGCACACAGCCCTGAGGGGAGCCAGTGCTGAGGGTGGTGGAGAAGTTGTAGATCCTCATACTGTTAGACCCTCGATACCTTGTGGTTCAACTTTCACGTACTCACTCTTTCACAGATTTTCAGTGGAAGACTGTAGATTGATTCCTTGTGGCCTGGCCAATCAGTAATCGCTGAGGGGGCGGGGTCTGTCAGCGAGCAGTGAGCGACATGGATTGCTTATTTAAAATAATCGAGCTCGGTCCGATCTGAGCCTTAACCCGAACCGAGCCGACCCGGGGTATTTCAACCACTGCTTCACTGAAGGTTCTTAATGACGTTGTTGAAGCACTGGATGCTAAGGATTATTGTGCTGCACTTTTCTTAGACCTGTCTAAAGATTCTGACACTGTGGATCAGAACATCTTGTGTCATAAACTCTCAGAAATCGGTTTCTCAGATCACACCATTGGTTGGTTCTCTAACTATCTTTCAGACCGAAGGCAATGTGTTCAACATAATGGTACTTCCTCCAGTTATTTAACAGTCAACAATGGTGTACCACAAGGCTCAGTCTTAGGACCCACCCTCTTTACAATCTACATACATAATGTAGGTAAAAACATCCCTAATGCATCCATACATTTCTATGCTGACGACACAGTTGTTTATTGTTGAGCTAAAACTGTTGCTAAGGCTTTCCAGCTTTTGAAATCTGCACTCAACTACATCCAGACCGATTTGTTCCGCCTCAAACTTGTCCTAAATGCCGAAAAAACCAAAGGGATGCTTTTTTCAAATAGGAAGTTGGTTCCAGCAGTTCTTCCTCCGATTTTATCCTCAAAAGGTGTCCCCATTGAGTTTGTTGATTCCTATAAATATTTGGGTATCTTGGTCGACTCACATCTTTCTTTTAAGCTCCATGTGGAAAACTTGATAAAGAAACTGAAAGTTAAACTGGGTTTCTTTTTCAGAAACAAATCCTGTCTAACCCTGAATGCTAGGAAACGCCTTGTATCTGTGACTTTCCTTCCCTCCATTGATTATGGTGACATTATTTACATGAACGCTCCTACAAGAACCCTGCAGATGTTGGATGCTGTCTATCATGGTGCACTAAGATTCATAACTGGCTGTGATTATCGTACCCACCACTGCACTCTGTATTCACTGGTTAACTGGTCACCATTAACTTCACGCAGACTCTCTCACTGGTACATTTTCATCTTTAAATCACTTCCTGGTCTGCTGCCTTCATACATCTCCTCCTACATGTCTCTGTGTGAGTGCAGCTACGGAGTGCGCTCTCAGGACATCATTACCTGCAGTGTTCCCTCAGTGAGGACTGAACTAGGCAAAAGGGCCTTCTCCTACTCCGCTCCTGTTTCCTGGAATATCTTACAAAAAGAT